CTGCTGTATTCTACAGAATGTGTTTCTATCTTCCATCTAAGACTTAAATCTTTCTTGATAGAATTTAACTTTTGAAGCCTATATCCTTTTCTTTGTGGACATACAATTTGTCCATGTTTTGATGTAATGTACCTTAAATAGTGATGTTTTCGGATAGAGTTGCAGTAGTTATTATCTGCTTGCTCTTGTAGTAGCTCAGGACTAGCCAGGGTATTAATATAATGTAGATGCCTCCTAAGAGCTTAGAGCCTACCTGACTGGTCTATTGAGCATACCATACAGCTGCTGACACATTTTAGTTCGGTTAGTACTAACTTAGAGTATCAGTTCAGCTCTTAAACAGCTTATTTACAAAGGATATAGAATCTGAACAGTGTTATTAGAAACAAGGGTTAACTCCACAAATAGTAAGTACAAAAAAAGGCATTCCAACAAAAGTTGCTTGGATTTCCCATATGTGCAGCATTAGTCTTAACTCTGCTTTCCTCATGTCAACAGAAAAAAAAAAAGAGTATCTTATTTTAATCCTCTGTGCTCCTGAAGTTAAATCCAAACCAGTGTTTTGTTCCCTAATGAAATACCTTAGGTATTTTCTAAGCCTAGCTATTGCAATTCCTATATAATACCCAGTTWTTCTTTCTTTTCTTCACAGACAGAAGGTACATTACTTTTGGTGGAAACGCGGCTACTGCTAACATTTTTTCTGTTACTGGAACACTGAATACTTGTTTGCAAAGTTTTATATTTACTTTTGCATTATTTTTGAGTCTGATGCTGAAACTCTCTTTAAATCTCATTGTGCCTAGCTGCAGATCACTGAACAGCAGTCAGTCACCTCACTTTTGGAAAACTTCCACTTTTGTTAAGAGTGCCCCACTACTACCACATAAACATTTATTTTAGAACTGAATGTACATGGCCAAAAACAATGAAATAAAATTCTCCTAGTTACTGAGATGATCCTGAATATTACTTATTACCAAAATATTAGAACAGCTTCAGCAAAATATTATTGGGTATTCTTTACTTTTTTTGATATGAACAAAAATGAACGACAATATTGAAAAAATACATGTTGGAAAGCAACAAATATGAAATTTCATGACAAATAACTGAACTAATTCCTTGCTATTTTCTCTAATTTGACAAGCATATTTCATTCATTCAAACAAAAAAAAAAAAACAACTTGCCTTCTAAACATGCAAAAAGTAGTTTAGAAAAAATTATCTGATTAATGAAGGAAATAAAGTGACCACGTAGCTTTCCATCTAAAAAACCCATGTTTTCTTCTCACACAATTTGTTACTGTACCAAAATATATTTGTTTTTCCTTAGCCTTTTTAGTTCTTAGAATCAAAAGAAAATTAAGCCAAGCAATACAAGAAAAAGATTTCAGGACAACTGTAACACTTAGCAAATACATCACAACACAGGAGATGGAGATTAAAAATAGCAGTAGGTGCTCACTTTCAAGGCAGTCTTAAATCAGCCGCCAAAGACAAGATGCTTTCAGAATTTCCTCAGAATTTAATCATGCCCTTAAAAGTGTTTCAACTTTCATATAAAAAAAAAAAAATCAAAAGAACACACAGAGAACAGGGATACAAAATGGTCTTTGTCTGCCCACAAACACTGAAATTTGTAGGTTTTATAAAGCAAAAAGGAAAACCAAAGCAAGTTACTGACAAGTTTTACCCCTGGCACTCAAGGTCCCACAGACTATCATCCATCAAATTTCAGTCTTCCAGGGCAACCTAAGAGCTATATGGAACAAGAACATTCCATGGGGCCGATAATTTAAATATGCTGACGTGGACATTTAATGAACAGATAGTCTCCCCAAACCCTAACTTGCTATGCAAGAGGACACCATGAAATGTGTCTGGGGCATGACTAAGCCACCAATCCCTCTTAATCACAGTTTATACCAACACCCCCTTTTATTCAGGAAAACATGACTACCTTCAGCCTTTTGAGAACACAGCATGGAGATATATAACCATCTTTTACATTATTAAATTCCCAGAAATTTACACACATGTACATTTAGCCTAGAAAAACTCTAAATAGTAGGAGCATAGGCAGAAAACTGGCAGGACCAAGAGTACAAACATTTTCTGCCTTCTTGACACAACGTTTAGTATTTCGGAAACAGTGCCCAAGCTGGGATCCCAAATAAGAATTAAATGGCATACTTTCTGTTGAAATAACATATTTTTATCTTTTAGCTGAGTACCTGAAGATTTTTTTTAAACAGGTGTAAACTTAATGAATAAGTTTTTACTTCAAATTAAATTCCTCAACTACTCAAAAATTATTAGTTTTATTGCAAAGAAAATAAAGTCAGTGTTATTTCAAACCTGCACATCAGGCAGAAGAAATGAATCCTAGGTCACACAGTGCCTCTACAACTATTTTACTTACTCATCTTGGATCTGTTTCTACTTGCAACATTCTTATGGGTTATTAAGTGGTCTAAAATTCAGACTAACACAAAAATTACTATTACAAAAAGCAACTATTACTAAGTGCTGTGAAAATAAACTGACTTGTATGTAAAGTTTTGGAAAGCAAGTAACGTCCAAGCAGGGGATACTAAAACAATGAACATGAGGTTTGGCTGCTCACTTTGCTTCTCCACCCCAAAGAAGACAAATCAACAAAAACTGCAAGCATTTCTCAAGTAATCTTCTAACTGCCCAGAACAATTTCACCTGGGAAATATAAGAGATACATGAAATAACTAAAAGCCACAGAAGCACTTTTTAAGATGCTAAGTCAAGGTCTTTGGAGTTGCACAATTTTACATGAATGAAGACCCTTCACATGCCCCACTAGATACCATTCTGGTTACCAACGCTTCTCAGTCACTTCCTCTTTTCCCAAAACGTTCTTGCAAGAGACAAAACTGTTTAAACTTGCTTGGATCCAATATTCCTGCTATCAGCTGACAGACTTCCAGCACAGATGGAAAAGGAAATTAAGTGTGAGATAAAACATGGATTCAGTGGGTTTTCTTTAAAGCACAAAAACATTTACTATAGAAATAGCAAGCAGTACCCATCATCCACTTCTCTATTTGCTTAGAATTGCCATGACAAAGAGTATCAGTATTTGCCTAAAAGAAAGACATTTCCTGTAGACCAAATAAACACCTAACAGGTAAGGAAAAGAGAAACCCGAGAGCCAAGAGGGAAAGACCAGGTCATTCCATTGGTTCCTTTTCTTAAACATGAACTATCTTTAATTAAAGAAGTATCAACTTACACAATTGACAGAAGTACAGCTGTATTGACTTTAGGTACATTACCAGACTGGTTACCATGGTAAAAGAAGGTTGTAGTGTAGTCAAATGCATATATAAGCTCTGCCATTTTGTCTGCATCAAGTTCAGAATATTAACAGAGAACAAAATTACATAGATTAGAAAACAAATTTTTTCCCTCAACAGTACTGGTACTAACAAAATAGAAACTGAGATTCTTCAAGAAACAAACAGTTCTTCCTCAGTAATTCCTAACTAGTGTTCCTCAAAAACACCACATCCCTCCAGCTGGGTACCCAGTTCCCAAATTCCACATCTTTAACGGGAACTTCTCTTGTTCTGCAAAGCTCCTTGCAAAAGCTGCTGTGTTGAAGGCTAAATCTAATCTAAGCACACACTCCCAAGCATTCATGCAGTCAAAAAAAATCAGTGGAAAATGATATGCTTTCATATTCTCTGGACTAAAACTACTGCTGAATCTTATCAGACTAATCACCAATAGTACGCCAAACAGCATGATTTAATTAAGTCCTTTAAACAGACTTAAAAAAAAATCAAAATACATACCCTAACACAACAGTTAGGAAATAAAATCTACCTGGCAATGCTAAACTTGGATGTTCTTACCATGATTACATCACTGATATTACAATTTTCTCATATTCTGTATGAGAAATTCCAGTCACCAAGGAAAAGCTTGGCCTGAATTCCACAGACTCAAAACCATGCCATCTGAAAGCAAGAAGATATGCTGACAACTCCATTAAGGAAAAGAAAAATCACCACCACATACTTTTGAAAAGAATATTAGCAGGATATTTGTGGGTACCTGAAGCAGCCAAATTTGACCTATATCCACAACAGTCTTAAGATGTTTGCAAAAATAAAGAATAATGTAACCTGATTCATCCTCATAGTCACACCTTGATAGATCCGGGTACATTCTAGACCAAGACTCCTGAAGCACAAAAACAAGTGTAAAATTCTCATTTTATACAGGGGAAAGCTGGGTCCTCATACACATCAGTCCATGAAGACTGAGAAAGTGTAAAAATTCTCACATGCTGATGCTAGAAGTTAGTAAGAACATCCTCAACTGCTCACAATAGATTATGGTGTAATGGTGTGTACTGAAACATCCAAGTCTTGACAGACACTACCAAACAGCAACACAGAAAACACGCACTAGGAACAAACAGCTTGCTTTTCATAAAAATACCCTACTCTAGGAACTTCTCAGCTGAACAAAAGTTCTACTCATTACAACTCCACTGGAAAACATATTCTTGCTATAGAAAAATACCAGATTTAAGACCCAGAGCCTACACAAAACTCGAATTTTTTAGTCTCAAATGCCTAAACCGTACTGTCAAAACAAACACTACATGCTGCTGTTCCCATTTAACAGAAAATTTCAGACCCCAATACATCCTGGTGCAGGGCACTGCAGGAACAAAAATATAGGAGCAAGACCTTACCAAATCCATCGGATATTTATTCACGAACATCTACATTAGATTTCACAGAAAATGGTACTGAGCCATATTCAGGTGAGTAGGGAAATCTGCACCTCGTTAAATCCTGGCCCTAGAGACCTTGCAAAGGTTAAGCCTCATTTTCTCACCAAAGCACAGGACAGCAAGAACATTGAAGAGAACGTCTAAAAAAGATGTCACAGACTAAATTAAATGCGACACTAAAGTGGGGGCATCTGGACTAAAGCAGTAGCCTCACCTCCTGGATGCGCCTGCGGGCCCTCTGGAGCACCTCCTCGTACCCCTTCTGTCGCAGCTCACTCAGGCTCTCGTAATACTCCTCGGGGTCGTCGGTCTCGGTGAAGAGCACCTGCGAAAGGATCTTCCAGCCACAGGTATCCAAGCTGTGAACCAAGTAAACTTGCAGCTTGTAGCACAGAGCGTCCATCTCCTGCTCGGATAGTTCCGGCGCTCCAAACAGCACCGTCCACATGCCCGAGGGCTCCTCGGGGAAGGCAGGCAGGTAGGGCTCCAGCTCCGAGTTCACCGAGCAGAGCTGCTGGTGGACGGCCCGCAAATCTTGGAAGGAGAAGAGGCCGGCCCAGCTGCACTCCTCCCCCGCGGGCTCCGCGTCGGGAGGGCTCGGCTCGCCCGCCCGCGGCGGCGAGGGCGGCAGCGACAGCGCGGCGGCCACGTCCTCCTTTCCTAGCTCCAGCACTTCGATCTCTTCGGCAGCACCTGCCGCGTCCGGGCCGCGCTGCGGCCTCCGGGCCGGGCTGCCCTTGGCGCGCAGCGGGCTCCTGGGCAGCGCCTCGGCCCGGGGATGGGCGCAGCCCCAGGGCGGCCCCGGGTCCTTGCGAACCGCGGGACCGCCGGCCTTGGGAGCGGTTCCGGCCTCGGGGCCCCCGCGGCGCAGCTCGCGGGAGCCGCTGCGCTGGCGCTGGGCCGTGCGGTTGTGGCAGGTGATGGCGAACTTGCCCTCGATCTCGTTCCAGGCCACGATGAAAGCGAACTTGTGCTTCTCCCGCTCCTGGAAGGCGTGCGGCCTGACGGCCACCCAGTCAGCCTCCAGCGTCTCCTCCAGGGCGAAGGCGGACATGGCGCTGCGCGGCTCCGCACACGGGCACACGCCGCCCGCCCTCCGCGCTCCCGTCCCGTCAGCTGCTCCGCAGCCCCGCGCCGCCTTACCGCCCACCACCAGCCATCTTAGCGGCCGGGGTACGAGGAGGGGGTGCGCTGCTTCCCCACGGGAGCGACGAGGAAGAAAGAGCGGACGGGAATCTCCTCCTCCCGCTGCCCGCGCGGGTCCCGCCGGTCACCAACGCGGACAATGCGCGGCGCCCCCGCGCAAGGACCGCGCGCGCGTCACGTGGGGTGGGATCTGTTTACAAGCGGCGGCGCTGCGGCAACTCCGCGCAGGCCCCGCCCCCCGCGCGGCCTGCGGCAGCCCCGCCCCTCGCGTAGCCTTCCCCCATTGGCGGAGCGGGGTGGGAGGAGCCTCGCGCCCCGGCCACGCCCCTTCGCCGCGGAGCCGCCACGCTCGCGCTCCCGCGGTGGGCGTGGCAAAGCGGCGCCCCGCCCCTTCCCTCGGAACTGCACCGCGGCCGCGCTGCGCCCCGTGAGGGCCGGCCGCTAGGGGGCGATGCGCCGGGGGACGCGTGTGGGGCCGCGGGGCGGGAGTGGTTCGATGGCTCTTGTATCCGAATTCTGACCGCGGATTGAAGTAAAATACTTAAAAGATTGGGCGTCAGGAGCGCCTAGCGGCACGCCGTGCAACAGGAGTTTGCACTTCTGGTTAGGTTGCAAAAGAGTGCAGCTTCTGTGACAAGTCCTGACAACAAGGACAGTCTGTGAAATAGGTGTCTGAGGCAGTTGCGTGCTTTATACCTGAGGGAAACTGCACTGAAATTTGGCCTTCTGTGTTTGCATTGGCCAGTCCTTCATGGGACTTGTTAGTACCTGTGGTGCTTTCCCAGGCTGCCAATTTTGTTGCAAAGCACAGAGGTTTAAGTGAGGTTGGACAGACAATTCTTCCAAGCTCATCTGAAAAGAATGATAAATTCCCTGTGATTCTGAGCTCAAGGGAAGCTCTTTCCCAGTGCCCTTTTCATTTCTTCTCATGTATCAAAAAATATTTCTTACTAGAACAAACCCAGAATTTTTACATCAAAAATAGGATTGATGGACAGTATGCATTGGCCCATATGGTAGGGACATTGACCTTGGCTGGACACCACTTCAACCGGTCCCCATTTTCAGCTTTTCTCTCCCTTGAAAAAGGAGAAAAAATAAGATGGAAAACAACCAGTAGGTTGAGATAAGGTAGTTTACTGTAGCAAAAGCGAAAGGTTTCATGCAAGCAGAGGAAAAAGACAAAGATTTTATTCTCTACTTACCAGCAGCAACCTCTGTCCAGCCATTTKCTAGGAAGCAGGGCTTCAGCACATTTCACAGTTGCATCTTCTGTTTTCCCTTACACCAAGACAACACCAGATTACACAAATCCCATAAAATGCTAGAAGTATTAATTATTAATATTAAATAGCTTACTGTAGGGATGCACCATGGGAGGACCATGGGAGCCTGCATAATCAAACCATCCACATCAATCATGGGCAGAGAAAGGGAAATGTATTCCCTCATCATCTCCACAAGATAGCTCCTCCAGCATGGCAAAGCCATCAATGTGAGGGCAAAGCACTGAGTCTTTTTTTGTATTAACATGTTCCCAAACTTGGCAAAATAAAGAAATAAGCAGCTGACAAACTTAGTGTTCTGCAGAGGAGCTTGCTACTTAATAACCACTATAATGATAGCATGCATGATAAAAAACTATTATTGTCTCTCCCCACACTGGTAGCCAAAAAGAGCAGTGGCAGCTTGGCCTTGGCTGGATGCCAGGTGCCCATCAAACTGCTTTACCATGCCCCCTCCTCAACTGGACAGGAGAGAGAGAATAAAAGGGAAAACAACTTGTGGGCTGAGAGACAATATTTTACAAAAAGAAAAGCAGAAGATTGCATGCACACAGGCCAAGGAAAAAGATTTTCTTCCATTCGTCACATTAGCAAGTGATGTCAGGCTGCTTTCTGGTCAGCAGTGCTTCAGCTCAAGAGTCTTTTTCTGTATGGCAAACGTAAATAATGAATGCCTCCTCCTTCTTCCTCTTTTTTCTTAGCTTTTACATATTTTATGTTTTATGGTATTTATATATCATGTGGTATGGAATACCCCTTTGGTCTCGTTAGGTCAGTTGGCTTGTTTGTGTCCCCTCCCAAGACCTTGCTCACCCCTAGCCTACTGATAGGGGGACAGAACATTGGGGAGACAACTGGTGCTGTGCCAGTGCTGTCCACCAGCAGCCAAACCCTGAGATGTTATCAACACCTCTGTGACTACCAATGCAAAGCATAGCACAGTAAGGGCTAGTGTAAAGAAAATTAACTCCATCCCAGCTAGACCAAATACAGCCCATTGGTGATAATGTTATCCTGCTGCAAATTAGAGGAAGCACTGAGGAAATAAAAAATTTTCATGAGAACTTGCCAGGAAAGCTAGAGTGAGTCACTACCTTTTTCTAAAATTACTGTATTGACTAGCATCCTGTCCTCAGGGGCTGAAGTATTTGAGGATAGCCCCTGGCTGTCCAAGCATTCTCTGGACATTAACCAAGCCACCTGTGCAGGAGCATGGAGGTTATGTCTGAAAGTCCTAGCTGTTAGAAAAAAAGGAGGGAATTACGGCTTAGAATCCCRAAGATGGACCATATCTCTGTTCTAAAGGTTAAGTGGGACATATTCTGAACATCTTGGATTGCAGCATTCTTCCCTATTACTGTAAGTGTAGGCATCAGATTAAAGCATCTGTGAAATTACGTGATAAAAATTTGATTATACCCCATGTAGCAGTGGCCAAGCAAGCAAGCAAAGAATACATTGGTGGAGGAAATACAGTATTTTTCTGTAAAGTTTTCAGGGAGGTCATGGAGTCTTCTACTATAGAAACATTCAAAACCTGCCTGGATGTGTTGCTAATCACCTGCTATAGGTGATCCTGCTTTGGCAGGAGGATTGGACTACATGGTCTCCAAAAGTCCCTTCCAACCATAACTATTCTGTCATTTTGTTATTCTATTAAACCATTTTTTTGGAGATAAAGGTAAACAGCAAGCCAATTTTGTCTTTTTAATGCATGAAAGAAAAAAGCAATGAAGACGCAGCAATATATCTCTCCAAAGATCTCCAGGATTAAGAAAATTTAACATGAATCAAATATTTGTTATCAGGCAAAGGATGAGAGTCCTGGTATTTCAGTCCTAGCATATAGAGGTAGAGGCTGTGGTCTTCTGGTTCTCAGAGGGCAGAGGGGCAAGCATGATGTATGATTTAAAGCAAGAATTAGATAAATTTAGGAACTGGCTGAAACCTAGTCTGAAATCACTTGGCTACTATAGGCCAAGTGATTTCTGATAGACCTCTTTTCAGGCACAGGAAAGGCATGCCATCAGCTCTCAATAGCTGTTACACTTTGCTAAAGTTGCACCCTTACAAAAAATGTTCAAGGAAGTAGCAACTTTCAAAAAATTACATTATCAATAAGCACTGAGTAGCCTTCATATTAGCTGCTGTATTGGGGCACAATCCATAAAAATACACAGAGCAGTATTTTCAGACATTAATGAATTGTGCTTCAGAGTGGTTAAAGGAAATACATCACTGATTTTTCCTGAATAAATCAACAAAAAAATTAAAGTTGCCTTTTAGAAGACCTGAATTGCCTTCCATTTGTGGTGGGGTGTACTGGACTCTTCATCACTAAAGTAGGTTAGATAGCACCCAATCCCCCCTGATTCACATACTGGTTCACATGCTGGTTCACATGCCTTAGAAAGATGACAAATTYGCAGCAACTGAAAGAACTATTGGGGAGTGTCTCTGAAAAGAACCCAAAGCCTTCTGGAGAGAACTGCTGCCATGCTGCTGCTGAGGGCATGACACTTTAGCACATGGGGATCCTACCACTGTCACAGAAACAGCATATATGAGAGGTCTGGTTGCCTTACCAAGAGGGCTGTTGGAAGTAGCAATTACTTAGCTGACAAGCTGGATTATTATGGTTATAGAGCCAAAGCTTTTTGAAAGTTACAAGAGTCCTGTCACTCGTGAGCTGAAATGTAAGGTTAGTAATTCAATTGATGTCCTATTTCTTTGTAAGAAGTGGGTCAAGTGCCAGAACTTTTAAGGCAGGGAGTAGTTTGAGTCATTGCTATCCCTGGGCAGTCTCCAAGCAGTGATATTTAATAAGATCTTGAACTAGTAATCCAGCAAAGAGTAGGTTTGCAAACTTCCCTAAACAAAGGAGTTTTTTGCTTTTTCTGCCTAGCAATATCATCTTCCTGAGCCTCTATTTGCTGGTTCTATCGGTGTGATCTCCGTTCAGRCCCGTGTTGGGAGAACAGGGAAACTATAGAATCCAAGTCTGGCACAAAAGGTAACCTGCCAAGGCAGATCTATACATAATAAAGACAGAATTGAGCTGGCAATGGGATGAAATCTTATGGAATTACGCATATATACTTACTTGCACGTGTGTGAGGTAGATTAGTAATTGCTGGATGTAAAAGGCTTGAATTACCAAAACCATTGCAAAGTGATCTCACCTGATGCTGCCTGAATGGTCTTCTGCAAGCTGATCTTGTGAACAGGAGTAGAAATATTTCTTTAAGTGTTTATACCAGCATTCCAACACCTAGTCTGTAACTCTTGCAGTATGCTGCAGGCTGATCTGAAAGTATAACCATCTGGATCTGAATCCTTGAACACCTCGGATAAAGTAACTTTAGTCCAAAAGTTCGTGAGAAACCAGGCCTCAACTGGTAACCCAGGTTTAAGGTTTGATCAATTCCAAACATCTGCTGCAGCTAAGTGATTTCTCCCCAAATACAAGACTATAGATTCTCAGTTAACCAGTTAATGCAATTTCTTTTGGCAATTGAGATGAAAGGGGGGAAGGTATTCAACAGTGCTTCAAAGTACTGTAGTATCAGGAGTATGTTTAGGCATCCTGGCATTGCTATTAAGTATTGTGCTTAATGTAACTCTGCTGAACAAGCATTTTTAATGGTTTTGTATTGATAATATGATTCAAATTTTTTTTTGGGCAAGCCAAATAGCACCGTCTGTTTGTTGTTAGTTGGAGTCCTTTTTTTCTTTTCTTCTGGGAAAAGTCTTAATAGTGATTCTGTAATTCTGTTTGTGTGAAGTGAGACAAGGTGGGGGCTACATACAAGCRCTGTTCACTTTGTGGTGTCTTAGTGGCAATGAAGCACTCACCCAAAATCATACTTTCTAGTAAGTTGTATCTGCGATTGAAATTCTGGAAATGCCCATCCTTAACAGCTTTGATA